TTGGTTTTTTCATTTACTACCTGTTCTACAAAAGTATCTTCCTGTAGGAGGGCAGGACCCACCTGATGGTCTGTGTTTGCATCCAAGGTGGCTTTCCTTAGGTTTTCCAATTCACATTCGTATTTCTCACGAATGGTCTTCTCACTGGCCTCATACTGTTTTGCTAAGTACTCTTTCAGCTGGTTTAACTTATTTATTTCTGCTTCATGTTCTTTAGCTGATGATTCAAACTGGTGTGTCAGTTCTTTCACTTCTTGTTGGTGTGCAGCTTTCAACTGCAAAAGTTCTTCTTGCAAATGATTAATATCTTTTTGGTAATGCTGAGAATTTGCTTCCATGACTTCTTGGAGGTGAGTAACCGCTTGCTTCTTTTCATCAGTAGTGACTTCTAACTGCTTTTGCAGATATAAAACTTGTTCCTCAAAGGCTGACCTCATTTCTTGAATCTCTTCTTGCAGTTTTTTAACATTGTCTTCAGAGCTACTCTGAAATTTAAGTTGTTCTGAAAGCTCTGCCTGTTTATTTACTGCTTCTTCTAGCTCCTTTTGTAAGCCAGCCTTATATTCACTGTGTTTGGAATGTACTGTCATCAATTCATTTTTCAAACTTTCAATTTCTTTCACATAGTTTCTGTGTGACTGTTCAAACTCCTTGTGCACATCTTCCATTTTAGTTACAGAATCCTATTTAAAAAATAAGCACAAATCATTCAAGTAAGACAAAAGAAACCCTTGCACCTCAGGAAAGACATCAGTCACAGGCTAACTGGAGAGAAGAGGAAATGAACAAAGTGTACCTAGAGAAATGATGCTGAGTCCAAGCAGTTTGTGCAGGCTCTGCCCAACTTGAGAGCAATGTAAACCAGCAATACTCAAGCCTTTACAGTAATAAATGATAACTAGAAAACCTCTGAATTTTATTTTCTTTTAAAAGATGATACATTATAAAAGTTACAGAAGTCATAAAGCTTCAACTACTAGTTCTTGAACAGAGAGCTTTAAGAGGAGGCTTTTTGGAGAAATTAGCCCAGACCAAACAGGCAAATAAGTGGAAATATGCTACTGAATATCCTAGAACTGAATAGATAGATAATAATATTTAACATTATATGAAAATCAACTAACTTCTTTCATTTTTATTAAGGAATGACACTGTAGCTTTAAGGAAGATCAAACAATATAATAAATGCTGGCTCTATCTTTATGTAAGTGAATAATTTCAGTTACTTTTTCTTTTTTAAATCCTTATCTTTTTTTCATAATATAGTGAAACAGCATTAGATGCTTTTTAGGGTCTTCAGTCAAATCCATGAATACACTGTTATGAATTAATAAAAAAGAAAATATTAAACATTGCCTTACTTCAACTTCCTGTTTCATTTTAACATTTTCCTTTTTCAGAGAAAGACACTGCTGCTCAGTCTCTGCTTTCTCCAGAAGAATACCATCTAGGCGCTCAGTCAATGCCTGTTTTAGAACAGGAAGATTTGTTTGCATAAGGTTAAAAAAAACTGTGGCTCAACCACACACATAATTATCTCACCATTTCCTAACCCTGTTAAAGTCAGAATAATTCAAGAAGATATAAACTTAGAACAAAAAGAACAGGAGAAAAGATTTGAGGATATGAGAAATTTCAATATATTTTTTGGAAAACTGAATGTGAAGGATGAACTGAATCAGAACAAAAAAAGAAAGCTATAATGTAAGGGCTCTTCAGGTGGGAATCCAGAGAAGCAGGCAAAGACTCTCCAGAAATAAAACACTGAGGAACGGGAGATGTCAGGAGCTGGGAATATAGCTCAGAGGTAACAGTGTTTGTCTAGCATGCATGGGGCCCTCAGTTAGACACCAGCACTGAAAGAAAGAAAGAAGGGAAAGAAAAGGAATTAAAGGTAGCAGGTATCGTCAAGGAAGGGTTAATGTGTGGGGTCCAGAAATGGGGACTGGTTGTCAATCTGAACAAGGAGTAGCCAGAAGAACAAGCAACAGTTATTCTGTCTCTCCTCCCCAGAGACAGGTATTCTCTGTAGGAACTGAGTAGGAGAAGAAGGTAATGAAATGGAAAACAGATCCATGAGACAAAAGTCAGTTCTTTGAAAAAATATCTAACAGGACAAACAGCGTTTAGCAAGGCTAACCACAAACAGTCCTGTAGCTAGAAAGTGAAGAGCTACATATAAATTAGGAATTAAAAAGTTAAACAGCCGGGGATATGGCTCAGTGATTCTGTTACCTGCCTTGTAAGCACAAGGTCTGGAGTTCAATCCCTGGTACCACCAAAAAAAAAAATTTTATTTTGCTACAGGATCTCACTAAATCGTCCAGGCTGGACTTGAACTTGAGATTCTCCTGCCTCACCCTCCTGGTAACTGAGTTTACAGGTGTGGGCCAGCATGCTCGGCCAGACTAGCTACCTAATTTATATGGCTCAGTGAAAAGTCAAATAGAGAGCCCCTTGTTCAGAAATTGTTATGAATTTCAGTATGGCCCAGAAAAGCATGAAGCCAGGCCCCTGTGAATGGGAAGTCCCGTGTAGCTCTGGCCTCCATGTGCCTGGGGAGCACCATCACCTGCTCCCGGAACAAGTCATCAGAGCTGGAACAGTACAGGGTAGTGATGGTGAAACTTACAGTGCATTCAATGGCAACAAACAGCCTGCGGCAGTATGCGTGCCATAGGTTCGCCACCACTGGTCTAGGGAGACTGCCTAGGAAGGTTGCTCAGGGTGGGCAGGAAGGAGAAAGCTGGGGGCAGGCAGGGCCAGTGACCAGCAGCCTTGTCCCCTAGGAGACTCCTCCAGAGCCAGGCCCTGCCTGCGACCAGCCCTCTGCCTTCCTTCCCCACCAGGGCTCATCTCCCACCCCCAACCCCAACCGGGCCACCGGGTGGTCTGGGCACATGTGGTCACAGTTAGATGTTGATTGAAGCAAAATTGTTAGAAGATTAGAATGGTTAAGGTAACTTTAATTTCCACTGCATTACTGAGATTTTTGAAGATGGAGCTGAGAGGTCCCCGGGGTGGAAGAGGGAAGAATGGTGGGGGCTACAAAAGGAGTCACATTTCTCTAGCTCTGAAGGAGAGGCTGCTGGCAACTGCAACATGGGAAGGAGAGCTGGACAGAGAGGAGGACTTCCAGGGAGCCGAGACCCGGAGTCCAGGCACCTGGCACACAGGAGGAGTCCGGGGCAGGGCCAGGACCAACCCCCTCCCCAGACTGCTTGCCCCGGCCACACATCTGTGCAAACACCCCTCCCCTCAGCTTGCCAGAGACAGACAGACAGGAGGATGGCAAGGAGAGGGACTCCTCCAGGCTCTCGCAGGCTCCAGTGGGGGTGGCAGGAGCCTCAAGATTTTCTTATCTGTAGAGCAAGACAGAAATTTCAAAGGAATGGAAGAATAATATAATAAAACTAAGGGTTATTAACAACTATTATTATTAATGATTATTCTTTATTATTGAGCTGTTACTATGTGCTAAGATAATATTAAGCCTTTTGTTATTAACTCTTCTTCTTTATTTTTTTTTTAGACAGGGTCTCACTATGTAGTTCAGGCTGACCTTTAACTCACCATGTAGCCCAAGCTGGCCTCAAACTCTCACTGATCCTCCTGCCTCAGCCTCCTCAAATTTTTTCCAGTGTTTTTTTTTTTTTTTTAAACACTTATTTCTTAGAGTTATGGAGGTTGGAAGTCCGAGAACAGAGTCCCAGCATGTCTGAGCTCTTGGTGAGGGCCTTCATCCTGGTTTACAGATGGCTGTCTTCTCCCTCTAACCTCACATGGTGAACAGAGTTCACCATTTGCTCTAAGAGGATGATGCTGAGCGGGGAGACTTACGGAGACAGCCCAGGTGTAACTAACTCCCAGATCACTTATTTCCCAGCTGTGTCACCATGAGTGAGTCAGTTAACTGTGTCTCAGTTTTCCCATTTATAAAATGGGGACGATAGTGATACCAATCTATTTTCAAAAGACTAATGTGCGGGGCTGGGGATTTAGCTCAGTGGTTCTGCTGCCTGCCTCGCAAGTGCAAGGACCTGAGTTTGATCCCTGGTACCAAAAAACAAAAAGACTGATGCACTGCCCACTGTGCTAAGGCCTTTTATTTTTATTTTTAAAATAGTGCTGGCAATGGAATTCAGGGTCTTGTACATGCTAAGCAAGTGCCCTACTGCTGAGCTACACCCCCAGCCCTTTTTATTTTGAGACAAGGTCTTGCTATGTTGCCCAGGCTAAGCTCAAACTTGTGATCCTCCTTCCTCAGCCTCCTGAGTAGCTGAGATTATAGGTATGTACCACCAAATAATACCGATCTGAAAGATTATAAATTATTTAATCTAGGTAAAGTGCTCAGAACAGAGCCTGGCATGGGTGAAGAGCCCTGTGAGTGTCAGCTATTGTCATTGGAGATTGTCACTGTTACTAACCCTTCTCCAGAGGAGGAGTATGAAGTTTGGAGAAACAAGGTCACTTGTCCACAGTCGCAGCGAGGCAGCACGGGCTGCAAACCCAGGTCTGCTTGCCTCCTTGGCCCAATCCTGGACCACTGGGCAGTGCCAGCATTGGTGCTTTCAGGGTCTGTGCTAAGGATTGACCTTGTTTGGTTCAGCTTAACCACGTACCTGTTTAATGCCCCTGCTCAGACCTAGAACAGCCCTTGAACCTTCACCGGCCAACTTCTGATTCTCATGGCTGAGTGAACCTGTGCCCAGAGAGGGGCAGCAACTCGCTTGAGGCCATGTAGTTGGCTGGTCAACAGACAGAGCTGACCCACTGATACCCAGACTCTACCAGGGACAGACCAAGGGTGGAAACCCCTGGTGGGTGGGCAGCCAGGCCTCGCCCAGAGGCGGCCCTTGGTGGGCCAGTCCACAGTCTGGCTCGAGGACAGTCGTTGCCTGTCTTGAGGTTTACATAGCAAATGACTGGTGGACAAGGAGATAAGACCTCAATGTCACAGGAAGGCTGTCTCAGCCTCCCCTGGGGCCTGGGCAACTGAGGCTCACCTGGGGGAGGGGGTGCCCCTCACGGCCAGCGAGCACTAGGGACTTGGCGACAGTGGGAGAGGTTTGGTGTCCCAGGGCTGGTTGGAAGGGGCTGGAGCCTTGTTTCCTTGCAGGGCAGTAGGCAGGGGAGGAAAAAGTGGGAAGCTGGGAAAGGGATGTCACTCAGAACCAGGCTGGGGGCCTCAGGAGATGCAGAGGGAGCCCAGTCAGGAGGGACCCGCTGAGTGTGAATGTGAGTAAGGCTTCGAGCATGAAGCCACACGCCTCCCCACACGCTGTGCCTCTCACCTGCCGCCTGCTTCACAGGACCCCTCCCCTGAGCCCTCCTCTCATAGAGCTGAGTGTTGCGTGTGGATTAACAAACAATTCTCACGACAGTCTGGAGAGGTCTTCAGATGAGGAGACTCAGGTGCCAGAGGTTAAGCAGTTTGCTCCACGGTACAGGGCTGGCGAGTGGAGGCATTTGGATTGGAACCCGGTCATCCAAATCAGGTTTCTTACCTTAGTCCCTGCTGCTCAGCCCCCACCTGAGCTCCATCCAGGGTCTGGTTTCCACTCCAGCACTAGGGAAGACCCAGTTACCCAGTCCCTGTGAAAATCCTTTAGCCGCTCTGCCGGCCGATCCCCTTCCTCAGGCAGTGCCCCGGAGGCCAGCAACCCCCAGTCTGAGGGATGGGATGGAATGGGCCCAGGCTCTGGGGCTGGGTGAGGGCGAGAGGCCCCACCGAGGGGTGGCGGGGCTGGTGTATACCTTGGCAGGGGACGGCAAAGTGGGAGGCCCTCGGAGGGGAGGCAGCAGGAGGAAGGGGTGAGGGCCCTGACCAGAGACAGCTCGGGCTCGCCCTCCCCTTGCCGGCCTGTGGAGAGCTCTGTTCCTAAACGCTGGGCCCGGGCCTCCTCACCACTCTCCCTCATAGACTAGTTCACCTAAGCCTCCCACGGCACTTGCTGTCTTCACCGTCACCCTGTGGTGCTCCTTTGGCCTCTGCAGCTGGCTACTCTCCCTGTCCCCAACTCTAACCTCCGGCCCTTCACTGCTGGTCTCAAAGGACACTCTTCTGTGACACTGGCCCTATGGGCTTCCTGGCCTTCTAGAAAAATGTCACCTTTGCTTTCTGAAACTCTGCTTTCTTGGTCTCCCACACCGTCCCAGCCACACCTTCTCAACCTGCCTTGCAGACTCCCTTAACTGTGGATGTGTACCGACTCGTGCCACGACCTGGCTTGGCCCGGCACTGCTTCCCTGGCCCCTCCCTATCCCCTTGGCATCAGCTGCCAGCTGCAAGCCGAAGCCTCCAAATCTCTAGCCCAGAACTCTCTGCTTCTGGATGTATCAGCGTCATTTTCCATGCATCCCATCACCCTTTCCCCTGGGCCCCCCCTCCTCAAGGCCTAACTAGAGAGAGAGCTGCTCTTGATTCTTCTCTCTAGGTCCTTCACCCCCAACATCGAAATCCTGCCCATTCATCCCCTCAGATCCTCTCATTCTGTTTTTTTGTTTTGTTTTTTGGATTTTTTTGGTACTGGGTCTTGAACTCATAACCTTGTGCTTGCAGAGGCAGGCAGCAGCACCACTGAACTAAATCTCCGGCCCTCTCTCATTCTTGACCCTCCTTCCACCTCACAACACCATGCCAGGACTACTCATTCCAGTACCTTCTCTCCTCCATCTCCTCCACAAAGGAGCCAGGGTCCCTTTTTTTGACAGGTCTCACGATGCATTCCAGGCTGGCCTGGAACTTGTGGCGATCCTCCCGCTTCAGCCTCCCAAGCGCTGGGATTACCGGTATGAGTCACAACGCTCAGCTGGGTTGTTCTTTCAAATCACAAATCGAATCCCTCCAGTCTTCCTGGACTCCCTATTTCCCTGCAGGTGAAGTCTAATCAGCTGCAGCACGGCCCCTGCTCGCCTCTTAGCTCCCTAGTGGGTGAGAGCCTATCATGACCGCTTCTCCTGACCCTTCCCTACTGTCCTCCCCGCTCAGCCTAGGTCACCGTTTGTCCTAAACTGGCAGCCCTCCAGGGCACAGGTCTTAGGGCACCCC